TCAAGTCTAAATTGAATTTTGATTAAGTAGGCTTTCGGTCCGAAAGCATTAGTGAAAATCCTAACCAAACAAAAAAGTAAAGGATTAGATAAGTACAAATCCAAAAGGTGATACGATGCTTTTCTCCAACTCAATAACAATCATATAATGACAGTCCAACTGTCTCCCTTGATCATCATTCATTACTCATAATTAACCAATGCCACTATCTTACAATCTTTATCCATGATCTTTGAAATCCGATTATATGGGAGAATTTCTATGAAACAAATACTCCCTCCGTTTCCTTCTGTTTTTAACCTTTAAAATTATGCGCGGTTGTTAAGAAATTGTGTAAAATAGAGGTATATTGGAATATTGTAATGATTGAAAGTACAATTCTATTGAAAAAAACAATATTGTACATGCGGGGTGAATAAAGTAGAGGATAGAAGAGAGAGAAAGTAATAATGAATATTAGAAAACTATGAAAATAGTAAAAAAAAAGTACAATAGCACATGAAAAAGTAAGGATTTTTGAGTATTGAAATTGTAAAACAAGGGTAATTTAGTCCAAAATTTATGACTAAAAAAAAAATACTAAATGTAAAGAATAAAAAGAAACACTTAAAATGAAAACGTAAAAAACAAATGGGAACAGAAGGAGTAATAATAATAATAATAATAATAATAATAATAATAATAATAATAATAATAATAATAATAATGAAGAAGAAGATCCCAAGATGGATTTAGGTAGAAATTGAAGATAATGGTTTATGTATGTTAGTGGGGATGTGGCTTTATTCCTTTATCGATCAATAGTACAGTAATTTTATCGATCGGTAATATGAGTATGGTATCTAAAGTTTTGATTGAATAAATTTGATAAGAGAATTTGATTTAACAGTACTAATACGTAGTGTATGTTAAAATAAAGTTATTGTATTTTATGGTCATTTATAATATAATTATACAAACTCAAAATAAGCAAATAAATAAGAAATTTAGAGTAATATTAGGAGGGCAAGATATACTTTGTATTCTAAAGTCTGTAATCTGTAATACAAGTATGTAAACAGTGAATTGCATTACCAAAATTTAATGGCCGGTCTAGATCATCATGGGCCTTTTGTCGCTTTGCAATATTTCCCTTGCTAACTTTTTTTATTGGCTTTCCGTCATATCATCTCATCATATTCATGAGATTTTAGTGGCCTGGCTTTATTTTTTTTTTCTAACATGTTTTATTTTTAAATAAAGTATTGCGTGGCTTTTTAATCATTAAGAGCATTTTTAATGGTAATCTAATTGTTAAATTAACTTGTTATGTCATGTATGATTTTAAGCTAACCTTCTTTTTAGCTATTTTATACGCTAATGGTTAGCTATTAGCTTGCTAATTAAATAAGCTTGACTTTCTCAATTAGCTTTATAAATTTAATTATTTCATATATTAATCTCCTACAATTCTGGAAACTTTTTTCTCAAGCAAATTAGCTTGGGCAAGCTAATTTGCTTGGCCAAGCTAATTGTATTTTTTAGCTTTAATGGTCAAGCTAGTAGCTACAGGCTTTTAAAAATTACAAGCTAATCCCTAACTACAACCATTGGAGTTGCTCTGATAATGTAAGTGTGCTGAGCTTATCTTTGGCATAACCATAACTATTATTGCTAATTTGATCAATAATTTATTTATCTCTTTCCCCAACTCTCTATTTTTGTTGCAATCCATATCCTTCATATATAGCAAATGCCAAATGGACCCTCGATGATTATTATAAAAAATTATAACGTTACTGGCATGCAAGGATTGAACCCGGGTGCTTATGACCAAATAATGGGTGACCTACCATTTAACATTGGCATGCAATGGGAAAATATCAATGGGCTTATATGGTTTGGTTTGTCCAAAAAAGGCATGATATTCACACCTCAAGGGAAGGCAGCTCATTATAGAGTCTCACCATTTATGTATAGTAATATAGTGTGGTATACTGGTATGCCTTGTAAGGAGTAATCTAATGCTTACTTTGGATAATGATGGCGGACCCTTTGTTTCGTTCATTACTTTTCCCGCTACTCCATGAGTATTTTTGTAAAAAATTACAAGTAGCTTTTAAAAAGCTGCTGAATTATTATAATTACTCTTGACACTTCTCACTCTAGTGTCTAACTAGTATAGTTGTTGCATTCATACTTGGCCGTGTCCTCTTAATGCTTCTATCTGAAGTAATGTGAATATTATTGGATCAATTTGCTGCGAATAGGAAACATAAAGGGAAGGGATAAAAATAACTAACAAAAGACCATTTGATATACGTAGTTTCTGGTAAATAGACACGATTCTAGTACTCTAGTCAAGTATATGATTATATGAACATTAAGCCAAGAGCAAAGGCATATGATTAGTCAATAAAACTAAATAATGTTGATGTATGTGTTCATGGTTTTGAAGAATATTACTGTATATGGCTTTATTCAAAGGTTTACATAGAGGAAGCTATCACAATGTATATACTATACGTAGTATATATAGTCTTTTGTTTTTTCTTACTTGCATTTGAGAGAATTTATGCATGTACTCGTATATATGATTGTATAAATAAACATATAAAGTGTGAGTTTTTAATAAATTTATCATTTTAGTTTTACAAATATCTTGTTGCTTAAACTTTAGGGGTTGGACAATTATCTTATTACTATGAAACAATTATTAGTCGTACTAGTAAAAGTGTAAAAGATTACCACAATAGTACCATTCTTTGAGAGACAACTTTTCTTTAGCTGAATTGTCACCTCGGGGAGTTCTTGACTAACTTGAGGCGAGTTCAAAATTCACGCAAACAATGCAAAAACAAATTCAGATTTATAAATTACTCCATTTTTCATTTTCTTCAAGGATGAAACATGAAAATGTACTCATGCATATACTATTGCAATTGGAGAAATGGGAATCTTTTTTACCCGGTTCCCCACAAAACACACTATTATTACAGCAGATAAAAACAAGAAAGAGGTAAATATAAATAGATAAAGGAAATACTATATTGTACCAACCCACAAAAAAGCAGCACAAACTCATGTGTCTCCAACTATGGCTCCATCTTTTTATGCCGTAGTCCCCCCTTTGATTTTTTACTTTTTTTTTTTCTAATCTGAGAAAATACATTCCCTATTTAAATAATAACCCGTATATAATAAGCTTGAAATTACTAAATAATGTACTCCGTATATAAGCCATCAACCGGCGAAATCAAGAAAATGACGTATAAACCGACGGTGGAGAAGAGATGGGATGCCCGACGCCATCCTTAAATTGTCTATAGTAAAAAGTAATCCCACAACGTTTATCAATAGGTCAAGTATTGCTTGGTAATTAAATACATTGTGTAAATATACAATTACACATATAAATGCATGTATATACTGATCTGAGATACCTACCAACCCACCCCTTTTGCCCTTTTCATTCCAAAATTAATAATAATAAATAATTAACTGTATATGTGTAATGGATAATGTAATTGATAATTAGGGAATATAGGGTATTAGAATAGAAGGACATGAATATATTCAATAAAACACAGCCACCTAAGAAAGGGTTTAAGGGAATGTTGCTGTTTGTAAAACAATAATAATAATTGAGATAAAAGTGAGCCAACAATGACTGTCATGTCAGCAAAGTTTTGGTCGTACCAACAAATTTTTATTGAAAAAGAAAAATGGAACAACTGCCCAGGATATGAGTTCTTCCAATACATCTTATTTTATTTAGAATGTTTGTTTTTTAACATATCTTATTCCGCCCTTGAATGTTGGTATAGCGCATGCAAACTTAATCTTTTATCTATTATGTTTATGGTTAGGGATAATCATGTTTTTCTCAAGCATACAATGATAAACATCCAAAAGATTAAGTAAGGGCCATTTCATCATACTATGCAAATTGATTACAAATCAGACGATGGTATAATTGATATGAAAATCGTCGATAACAAGTACAAAGCTCAACAATAACAATGGCGGAGGTACAAATTAAAGTAACCATGAAAACTTGTTAAGGAAGCATCAACTTTTAACCTAGCTACAAACAATGACAATTGGTTAATAAGCTTGCAACTAGTGACTTCATGGTTGGAAGCCATATACATATGCCAACTATCTTAATTAATTTTCGTTGTGCTATTGTATCTTAATACCACTTTGTGATAGTTAGAAAAACAATACATACATTCGATTAGTCTCTTCCTAAATCTAAAGTGTGTCGATTAGTCAACAAGTACAGTCATTCAATTTAGCTTTATTAGGCATTAACAGATTGTACACAAATCACTTACACCTTCATAGTTATTAAGTGTAATCTCCATATTGGCTCAAATAATAGAAAAAATAATGGGATATCAATATAGTTATTGATTACACCCATATATCTTTAATTATAAATGTTTGACTTCATATTTTTTGATAAATCTATAGAATTTATAGAACTTATCAAAAATCATAATACACGTCTAATACACTATTGTCGATCTTTAAGTTACATATAGGTACATTTATACTGTAAGTAAGCAATTAAAAGACTTATAAATTCAAATACTCGTACGTAAGTCAAGGACAGAGTAAATCAAATAACACTTAAAATAATTTTGGTCCATTAATCTCAACATCTTACTGCCTATTTTAAGAAATGTTTGATAACTACATGTTCATAATCTGAAGAATATTGCCATAAAAAGAAATCCTACGACTATACGGAGTACTGAATAACAATAATCCTGAAATTAACAAAAAAAAAAAAACAAAATACTCCGTACAAATGAAGGTAATTAGGAACAAATTAGGAATTACGGATAAACAAAAATGCAAATATGATGAGATCATAGTGGGACACGCGTCTCCTAATAGACACAATTAAGATTTGGCCATGTCCCGACACTCTCACATGCCTCTTTCATTCTCTCTCTTTCAAAAAGCTGCTACTTCACTTCCCACCATCTATCGGAGTAATTTCTTCTAAAAAAAAAAAAAAAAAAAACCTCTCGGAGTAATAAACCCCATTTTACGAGGGCATTTCTGTCCTATTCTCACGTCATCTCTTTCGACAGCAATACTCCGTCCTATCCCCATACGACAAAATTCACGGAGTGGCATTTCTGTAATTTCTCCCTTCTTTTCTGCCCCTTTTTCTTTTCTCTTTATTCTTCCGCCATTCCTTTTCATTACTCCCTCTTCTGCTTACTTCACTCTCTCTCTTTCACTCTCAACATCTCAATCATACTAACTAACATTCAACCTCACCGGAAAACCACTTTTCTCGCCGTTAAGCCGCCTTTTAACCCTAATTATCCGGAAATGGAGGTCATTGTGTTTGATTACGAGCTTAAAGCTAGTGGTATAGTGTAGATTTTCTCACTCTTTGTTTCTTTAATTTAATTACTCTCATACTTTCCCTCTTTCTTCTTAGACACTTAATTGCTCACTTTCTTAAGAGAAAGAGAGTGTTGTTGCGGTGGTGGTTGTTTGAGGGGTGGTTCCGGTGTCGATTTCTCTCTCCTACGTGTCAAAATCTCCATCGTAGGATGGATATGAGAACTATGATCGTTGAAAACTTGGATCCATTGAGGAAAAGGTGTGGGGGATTGAGGACTAAACAAGCGGGGAGAGGTTCGTGCCGCGGAAGTTAGGGTTCGTTTCATCGCAAAAATTCGTCCAAAAATTAATAATAATAAAGCGAAAAAAAAATGTACTACGATCTCTATTCATTTCTTTTTCTCTTATTCGATTTCTCCCAGTAAGAAATCTAGAAAGCTACGTTTTTATTTTGTTTCTGGAAAAAAAAAGGTTATTATTGGTGTTAAAACGCATCGTTTTATTGAGAAAATTGGTGATTGAAAACGATGGGTTACTTGTTGAAAGAAGCACTTAAGGCACTGTGTGGCGTCAATGAGTGGTCCTATGCTGTTTTCTGGAAAATCGGTTGTCAAAATCCTAAGTAAGTTTGCTCTCACTTTTATTTATTTTCAATTTTTATGGCGCCAAAATAATATCACTATTTTCATTGAACTTGATTTTTCATACTAAATGGTCAGTGTTCTTTATGTGAATCCAACCCTTGTTTATTTATTGAATTTTAGTGTTGTTTTTGGTTTGATTTGTTTGCTGAAAAAGAAAAAAAAAAAAGAAAGAAAGAAGAATCAAAAGTTAATAGGAAAATGAAGTATGAATGTTTATGTTTGGTTTATTAGGGTCAAAAGAAGGCAATGTGCTGAAATTAGTAATTGAATGTCAGTCCTTGTACTTTTTCCTTGGCTTTGGGGATTTGGTTTGATTCTTTGGGTTTTCAGATGGATTTTGATTCTTTGTTTTTGGACTTTCTTATATTTTTGGTTTTTTCTTTATTGTCTTTCAGAATCTTATAAGAGTTATAACTGTTATAGTTCTATGTCTGTTTTCAGTTTTTAATTTTGCGATTTCAAGTGTTATTCTATTGTATATATTGCATAATAAACTTTATATTAACCTTTGTTGTATTAGTCATGTTAATTTTGAAAACTGACGGGAAATTAATTTTTCCAGCTTCCAAAATTCAACGATCACGAACAAGCCCTATAATTTTAAATTAGGTTTATCGTGACTACTAATACTACTCTACTAGCTTTCGTTTCTTCATCTGTATTTATTTTCGTCCTGCCTTGTCAATGTTGCTAATAGGTTGAGAATACTATTGGTGTTTGGGTGGTTAATATAATTGGTAACTATTCTGCTAAGATAATCAAAATTATGAATTGACAGGCTACTGATTTGGGAAGAGAGCTATTACGGATCATCTCCCAGTGTGCCCTTGAACTCAAGTATAGGTAACCAGGAAATAAATTTGCAGAAAGTGGAAGGTTTTAATAATGAGACGCAACTGAGTGACAAAGTTCATTTGCTAATGGATAGGATGATGATGTCTAACCATGTTAATGTGGTTGGAGAAGGGTATGCCCTGCTTGTTATTTTTGCTTTTCTTGGCTTGATTATCCACACTACAGTTGACAAATGCAAGTATGACGTTTTTTCAAGTTAAAGAAGAAAACCTTTGTTTTATTTCCCACCTTTTGTTCAAGCATCTACTGTATCTTTGTTTGGCTTCTTTAATTTTTTCCTAACTATAGTATTTTTATCCATGGGTTCTCTAGATTGGTTGGCCGGGCTGCGTTTACAGGGAGTCATCAATGGATTGTCTCTGGAATGTACAATGAAATTGCTCACCCAGCTGAGGTACATAGGAGATATTACATTTTTTCCCCTTCTTCCCATGATTGAATTTACGTCTCACTCATCTAGTAAAAGTTGGGTGATTGGTTTTTGCACCACAAAATAAAACAGTGGCTTCTTGTTTCTAGTCCTCTTAATGATGTCCTACATAGGTCGTAGTGTACATCTGTGTAAGAAGCTCACTAACCGTTGTGTTTATGCTCTTGATGAAACATCAGTAATTTTATATGGAGACATTCCCAGCTTTTACTTGAGAAGTTGAATATCTATTTTACTCATCTAGTGAAAGTTGATTGTTTCCTGAGTATGCGCTTATGAAAGAGTATGTTGCTTTCAAAAAAGCTTAAAACTGACGTGTTTATGTTCTATATTAAATAACATTCCCTTTTTAGTAACAGTGTGGATATGAGAGATAATATCTAACTCGATTTTTCTTGTTATCTTCAGGTTCTTAATGAGGTTCATCTCCAATTTTCTGCTGGCATGAAAGTAAGGCTCAATCTTGAACAGTGTTTGGTTGCTATTCTCCCTGCTGTTACTGCTTTTGTCATGCTGTTGTTACTCAGATGTATATCTATATTGCAGACAATTGCTGTCATTCCAGTGATTCCACATGGAGTAGTTCAGCTTGGTTCATCATTAACTGTAAGTTTACTTCATCTATCTGGATGAAGAAAATGTAACTGTTCATTTTCTTTTTTAAGTGCTCTCTTTTTAGATCATAGTTGATATTTCCAACATATTATTCACTGTTTTGTGTATTTCTCAATTCTCATGGAAAACACATCACTCAAAGGCACTTAGCAGCATAATTTTATTATTGGCTTGATCTTCACAGAAAGATCGGAGATATATTGAGTCATCTAATGCATTCTGAATGCCAGAAGTTCCCTAAGTCTAGAGTCTTTATCAAAGACTATTTATATCATTCACTCTTCCTTGGTATAAACTAAGTGTTAGCGATAAGTTACTTCTGTAAGATGTAGTGTCATCTTCCCCAATTTGCCGAAGTAATTCAAGAGCTTTGCTGCATATTGATGTTGATGCCTTCTTTGTTAAAATTTTGTTTCACGTGTTTGATTGTGAAACCAAAGCCCCTGCTATTTTTTACTGCAGGTTTGTTAAAAATTTAGTATAAACATTATAAAGCATTAAAAGCTATGAAGGAGAAAGCTGGGTTACTTACTTACCTGGCAAGTTGTGGGCCTAGGCAAGTAACATAGGTCACAGCTCACCTTTCAGTCTAGGAAGTTGGATCTATCGTGTATAGATTGTTCTTTCCATCGCTTGCCTTTCAGGAATTATATCCACAAGAGCTTTTTTTTTTTTTTGTTTTGTTTCATAGATGTCCCAATAGATTCAGATCCTGATACAACTTACAGAATCTGAGCATGCAGGTTGTTTGCTGGCTATTCAGGATGAGTCTAATCTTGTCATCCTGATACAATGACATGTCAGATGATTTTATACCCCAGATGCCTTATCAGATGTTTCACTACTAATTACGTTAGCATAATGCACTCTGAACTGGATATACCCACTTATCCCTCAATGCACTAATCTACACTTTCACCTACCTTTTTACATAAATTCATGCTACACCTTTCCTTTAAATTATGCTACATCTTCCTTACTGGGATGTTTTAGTTTCAATATTACTTTAAATGCCATGTAATCTCAAAAAAGCCAAGTTCAATAGGATATATGCTGGATCATCTTCAATTCAGTGGTTGAAAAAAAAACTTGAATTTACTGTGTCCTCATCATTTTGTTTGTATACTAGACTACTAGTTGTCCCTTTCTTGATGACTAATGTATTGTTCCACATTTCCTGGTTCAAATGATTTTTTCCTGATGTACCTTTTGCTTCAGATAATGGAGAATGTTGGATTTGTGCATGATGTGAGGAGTTTTCTTCTTCAATTGGGATGTATTCCTAGTGCGTTTATCTCTGATAATTATTTTGCAAAAGATGCTGCATCCATGTTGGGGCTGCCAGTTGCTGATGCAACAGCTAACCCCATCAATCTACACAGACAACCAACACAGATAAACTCTCATGATATAGCTGCAGGAGGTTTCAATTTGCAGAGAAACTCATCTGATATTCACGGGCTTGTCAATCAATCGTCCAATTGTCTTCTTACTCAGTTTCAAGATAACCTGCAAGTTAGTGGCTCAATATTTACGATGCCTAACCCGATTCAAGATTCATGCAAGGGCAAAGGAGTTCATGATGCATCAATGGTTACTCCTATTGTTCATTCCAATGTCCTTCCAGTATCAAACAGAAGCACTCAAGGAGTGGTAATGCCTTTAAAATCCGATTTAGCGATGAAACAATCTTCTTCCAATAACCCAGGTTTAGGGATCAGTTGTCCTCAATCAACTGTCAATTGTTGGCATCCCACATCGTCAAAGCAGCTGATTGTCTCACATGAAGGTTCAGTAAAAGGGAAATATAACACTTCAACATCTGTTTTTAACCCTAATGAACGCCATCATGCAGCTTTAAATCAGACTGATGCCCCTTTGTCAGCAAAAAATAAATTGGATATTGATATTGATGGTGGCCATTCATTTCAAACATCACCTTGTGCCAATATGGTTGTTCAGGACACTGATTCTTCTATCGAGGATGTGGCTAATTTGTTAAAGTCTGATAATTCAAGTACCCCTAGTAATTTAAAAGGTGTTCTTAATCATGGAAATTACACCAAAGATAGTGCGCTTACAGCTACATATATTCATGGGAAACTGAATGATCGTTGTGAAGTCCTGGAAACTCATCCTAGAAAACAAGTGCATCAATCTGGTGGTTTCACTTGTGATAATATTTGTATTGGTAATTATGTACAACCATCAAATAACTCTGTGCTTGAGGATATTTTTCTTCAGTCATCAGCAGGAGATGACTTATTTGATGTACTAGGAGTGCATCTTAAAAACAAACTGTTGAATGGCAACACTATTAATCTTCCTACCAGTTTCTGTGCTATTTCAGAAAATCAAACTAAGGATTTGCCAAAATCTGTAAACCAGCAAAATTTGGGATCTGAGGTGTATTCAGATTATGAAGGTATCTCTGAAAGTGTTGTTTTCTCTTCATCTGGTTCCGATCACCTTTTGGATGCTGTGATATCTGGTACTGGCTCTGTTACCAAGCAGATATCAGATGATGATGCTTCCTGCAAGACTGCTGTATCGAAAATCAGTAGTTCCTCTGTCCCTAGTACTCCTCAAAACAATCCTAACCTATCTGGACTGTTTAATATGTCTGATAGGATGCAGGGCCAGCTATTTGGGCTTGCTAAGCCTATAAGTAGATTAGTTGAACCAGTAGGCAATTCTGTAAGGTCTGCAAGTGGTAAGAATGATGATGGAAGCTGTACATATGGATCGCAAATTAGCTCCTGGATTGAACAAGGGCCTAGTACTAGTGTTTCTACTGCAAATTCAAAGAAGTCTGATGGAGGAAAGTCGAATCGAAAAAGACTTAAACCTGGGGAGAATCCTAGACCAAGGCCTAAGGATCGGCAGATGATCCAAGATCGTGTGAAGGAACTCCGTGAGATAGTGCCAAATGGGGCTAAGGTATTTTTTTTCTTTTCTTTTTCTGTTAACTGTCCTCTTAATAGGTTTACAGTAATGAAAAAAGACATTGACACCATTTTATGTCTATGTTGTGCAGTGTAGTATAGATTCATTGCTGGAACGTACTATTAAGCACATGCTTTTCCTGCAGAGTGTCACTAAGCATGCTGACAAACTAAAACAAACAGTGGAGTCCAAGGTAGAGATGATCATTCTTGCATTACTTCTGGTTTTAGAATCAGTCACAGTTCACATTTGAATTCAGCATAGCCATTTTGAATAGGCAGTTAGTGCTAGTTTTAGATTTAATTCTAAAGCACAGAATGTTAGAGATGCAAAGTGTCCTAGTCCTCTGTTTTTTATCTTGCAGGTTGCCAAAAAGGAAGGTGGAATGCCTTTAAAGGATGAATTTCAAAGCAGTGCTACCTGGGCCTTTGAGCTTGGTTCCCAATCTCTGGTTTGCCCAATAGTGGTTGAAGATTTAAATCTACCTCGACAATTGCTTATAGAGGTAATATCTTGTTTTTTAAAAGAGACGGTGATTCTTATTCCTTTGGAGCTGGATTTAGCAATCATGCAATGATTATATATTTTCTCAGATGCTTTGTGAAGAACGGGGTTTTTTCTTGGAGATAGCTGATATTATTAGAGGACTGGGGCTGACCATTTTAAAGGGTATAATGGAGGCTCGGAATGATAAGATATGGGCACGCTTTGCTGTTGAGGTAATTCTAAAGCACATAGACCTTCTCTAGGGCACTTGATTTCACATGGTAATGCAAGCATCATATTCCAGAGAAAATGACAATCATCTTCATTTGTGCTTGTAGGCAAACAGGGATGTCACGAGGATGGAAGTATTTATCTCACTAGTCCATTTACTGGAACAAACTCTGAAAGGCAGCACAAGTTCAGTTCACAGCACTAATGATGATAATATGGCAGTTCTTCCTGTGTCCATTCCCGCTCCGATAGTTTGCGGTGAGCCATCTATGTAGTCTTTTGAAATTGAATATGTTGCAGAGCCATGTATGGAGTAGTCTTTTGAGAGGGAGTATGTTGCGGTGAGCCATCTATATGAAGTAGTCTTTTGAGAATGGATATGTTGAGAGCAAGACGTCTAACTTGCTATGACCGACAAATCCAATGTCCTTGCGTGGGAGGGGTAGAAAGTACATATGGAGGGTTTTAATTTGGGTTGTGTAGGTAGTAGTCTTTGACCTCTGAATATGTATGGCATCTCTATATAGGGTATTTCCTATGGACATTGGCTTCCTTGGTATTCTTGGTGTTTCTAATTTGGGTTTAAGTAGATATAGATATAGATTTGAAGGGAGAGATTAACTATTTGGAGGTATATTATAAGGGGTAAAGTGCGATAATTGTATAGAATTACACAAGAGGTAGGGTTGGAAAGGGGGTTTTATAAACTAAGGTTTGAAGATTAGTGTGTTTATTAAGTTGGCTTCAACCATGTGTACTTGGATAGTTTAAGATCTAAAATTCCAGTAAATTTTATGTATGATCTTGTGGAGTACTATTCCAAATGCAATTCGGAAGAAAATGTTTTTTGTTTTTTCTAGGCAAGGAATTTTCATATGTTTTCGTCTTTTTATTGTATGTATGATCAATTAAGAAAATTGATACATGCGGATCTAAGAGCCGCATACTTCGTACAGCCGAGTGACGTGCCGGCGCTCATAATTTTTTGCCGGTTAGCAGCTCCAGCTCCGTATCAAGGTCACGATCGATATCGTCACACTACATTCTATGAACTTCGTCAGCAGTTGACTCTATAAGTTCAATTAACATCTTTCTTCGTACCAAACATTGAACTCGCAATGAATTGCTCCAATTTATGTTTATGACTTTATGAGGTAATTAAATCAACCATCTCAGATCTCACCTAAAATTTTCGTGAAAATTCTAACAAACTCGACTCTGGGACACCCTAGGATGCTCCTTTACAATCTCGGAGTTTTTGACACCCTCTATTGTAACCTCCTAAAGTGATTGATTTCGTGCATAGCCTTTATTTTTGGACAATTTTAGACTTTTTTTAAATTTTTTTAAAAAAGGGACCGTGATGATATTCATGAACGCTACGACACCTTGGACGTACATTTGGTGGTTGAAACTGTCCATTTTGCCTTCAAACCATTACTTAGGTTGGTTACAAGTCTTACAACTTATACCCCCTTCATAATATGACTGACTACTAAGTACTCATGTTCATATACAGTTTCAAACAATAATATACGATCTCGAGTTACATCTATTACAATCACGAGAGTTTTGACACCAGCTTTGAAGCCTCCCAAAGTGATCATTTTCGTGCATAGCCTACATATTTGGATAATTTCCAATTTTTTCGGATGTGGAAGAAAAAGAGGCCAGGTGATTTAGTTGATTACAACATACACCTTGGAAGTATATTTGGGTGGTTGAAAGTGTCATCTATTTTGCCTTTAAACCACCAATTTAGTTGGTTACAACTTACACCTCCTTTCTTAATTTTAGACTTGTGAATGTGATACCTTGGCTTGGCCTTGTGTTGTATTGGCTTACTTTGGCGGTAACAGAAGCCAAAACGATACCCTCAATTGCTAGAAATAAATGTTTCTACAGTAAAACTGAGGCGTTTTTATGCATTGTCCTTGTGAACATGGCTTGTGTAGTTTTGCCCATGCCGTATGTCTACAACATGGGTGGTGTGCCTTGGCTGGGCAACAACATCAACACCCCAAGGTTTGTGGGCAGAAACCTCTAACGCCCCACACTTAAGCGTTGTGCCTAGACCGATTGGCCCTCCCTAATTAAAATTCAAAGAAGGTCACCAAATTGTTCGTTTAAAAAATCCAATAATCTGTTGTAAAAATGGAATTAGCCAGCTACAACCAGAGAATTCATGAAAACGAAGTGACACGCGGTGCTTTGAGGCTAACCTTCCAAGCTATCTACCAGAAGAAATAATCAATCAGGATACTTCTCCGCGTTTTGGCACAAATTTATGGCTATTTGTTTTTAACTTTTCCTAACTAAACAACATATTTGACCCCAATGGTTGAACCATCACCTACGCACCACCTACTATTAACTTTCTTGTTTACTTCGTGCAAAGAGACCCACCAAAACGACAAATTTTTAGCCGGAATTCAGTCGTTCAAAACTGTAGCTAATGAATCAAACTAACTAGCAACCACAACTTTAAAGTTACTCCATATATGTTTGTCAGATGAAAAGGGAAAGAGTTGAAATTCATACTGGAAGAGTCCAAATAAATATCTCTTTTTTAAAGTTAGTAGTGGCCAATCATTCCAAGTTAACTAGCTTAGCACATGAGCATCTGTCATTCATTTACTAGATTAATTCCTACTAATAAACTAATTGTCTAGAATCTAGATTAGAAATCAGTTCGTACTACTATTATTATTATTATTTCAAGAGAGATCAATTAAGGAGACTAGCATCAATTAAGGAAGGAGCAATAATATAAGATGTTGATGTCTAAGTATGACAAGATTAAGACTGATATTAGTCATATCAGTCAATTAACAAAGACGCTTGCTAAAGATGATCCTAGAAGGATCATTCACTCCATCAAAGTTGGTTTTGCCATCACCTTAGTCTCCCTCTTCTATTACTTTGATCCTCTCTATCAAGGGTTCGGCGTCAATGCAATGTGGGCTGTTCTAACTGCTGTCGTCGTCTTTGAGTTCTCTGTTGGTGCTACGCTCGGAAAAGGGGTTAATAGAGCCTTGGCAACTATTATTGGAGGGATGTCCGGTTTTGGTGCTCATAAATTATCAACTCTTTCAGGAAATAAAATTGTAGAGCCTTTTCTTCTTGGGCTATTCGTCTTCATCACAGGTAATTATAACTTATGTACCTAATAATTTAAGTATTAGGATGATTTATGATGTTAGCGATTCTAATTCGTATAATCGTATGTACATTTAATTGTTGTATGTACTTGGTATGTATTTATGCAGCTGTATTAATGACGTTCATGAGATTTTTCCCAAAGATGAAGGCGAGATTTGATTACGGACTATTGGTATTCATATTAACATTCTGTTTGATATGCGTATCCGGGTACCGAAACGAAGAGGTAATAGACATGGCGCATAGAAGGATTAGTACCATTCTAATAGGAAGCTCAACTGCTGTCATTGTATGTGTTGTTATATACCCTGTTTGGGCTGGCACTGATCTTCACAACCTTGTTTCCACCAATATTCTCACGCTTTCCCTTTTCTTTCAAGGTAATTACTTCATCCTTTCTACATTTCCCTTAAAATTGCATTTCTTTTTATCAAAGATTAATTTCTTTTTTTGGTTAACATTATTGTTATAAACGGAACTGCGGGAAAAAAAACAGTAAGAACAAAGTTACCGAAAAATAGACTGAGTCGCGGACTATGTCGCTTTCTTTAGAACATTCACGGCACTGCCATGAAAAGGTGCAAGCAGTTCGTACTAAACCGGATGTTCCCCAGGATAAAACAGCCTTTCTGTATTGAAATTATACCGGTGGAACTGCACAAAACCACCGGGCAACTAAACACCCAAAAAGAAAAGAAACTGCTCGAGGGTTTTGTTTTTTGTGGGGAAAAATAGAGAGGAGAAGAAGATTGCTTTCTGTATTTTTTTTGTGTGTCAAAAACAGGAAATCAACACGCCTTTTATAGGAAAAATTGCAACGTAACTGCTGCTGTTTAATTAGGCACTAATCACGCAATTAAAACGGTCATAAGTTGATCGTTCAAAACGGTTACAGAAGATTAATGCGTGGCAAAACGTTTAGCAAAAAATCAGTGAAAACGTTTGCATGATTAACGCTCCATTAACCAGTGTTGAAAAAACGGTCAAATGTAATCAGTCAAAAACGTTTAGCAAAAATCAAGGAACTAATCACGCAATTAGCCTTGTCCAAAAAATAAGTTTATTTAATAAACCCGACCCGACCCGACCCGACCCGACCCGACCCAACCCGGCCCGGCCCGGCCCGGCCCGGCTCGGCTCGGTTCGGTTCGGCGCGCGTGTGTGTGATAGATGGTTTACCATATAGGTCCTCCCTCTCCACAAAATGTGGGTAGCCCAAGGGCCACACCCCTTTAGCCCACTCTCTATATTATAAAGAGAGTAAAACTCTCATTTCCCACCAATGTGGGACTTTGAGTTTTTCACAAAATTCACACACTACACACTTGTTGTTCCAACAATCCCCCACTTGAATTTTTTGAAAACATTTTCGAGCAGAATCCATACATATATAGGTTGCGCATAAACAGAAGTGTTTTTCAACTTGAACTTCGACGTAGTGAGTACGATTCAGATTCAACAAGGGTGACTCGAAGTTTTGAACCCTATCTCTGACAACGTACCACACACAACCTACTCTTGGTGTTGTTCTAGACCCGTGCTATTTCGGCCATGCACGTCTATCCCAGTGTAGTGAATGCTCTAGAAATGCTGCCACACATTTCATAGGAAGCGGCCTAACTTCCACATTCACATAGGTGAATCTATCAAGAGTACTCCTGTAGCTTGGTACTCCACTCCAAATTGGAGTATAGATTTCATTAAGAGTTCCTATTAACTCATCCTTGATCGCTTCAGGAAATTATGTCTTTTGAACATATTCAACTCATAACACACCATAACTTGTTATTACCCTTTGAACCTATTTCTTGGGATCTCCAGTTCATAGGTTGGGTTACCATTATGTGTGGTTCATTTCAATGGCAATAGTCCCATTTTCTTAGAGGAAAAATGGACTTTCTCCCTAGCTAATCCTTTCGTCAAAGGATCAGCCAAGTTATTCTCAGTGCGTACGTGATCCACTCTAACAGCTCCGATAGAGAGATATTCTCTCACAGTGCTGTGCTTACGACGTATTTGTCGTCTCTTACCGTTGTAATAACGGTTCTGAACTTTTGCAATAGCCGCGGTACTATCGCAATGGATCAAGACAGCCGGTAATGGCTTTTCCCATAGGGGAATTTCACCTAGCAGGCCTCTTAACCAACCTGCTTCTTCACTAGCCGTAGCAAGTGCTATCATTTCTGACTCCATGGTGGACTGAGCCAAAATAGTCTGTTTCTTAGACTTCCAAGATACAGCTCCACCGGCTATAGAAAAAATATATCCACTAGTAGCCTTAGAGTCATCTGATAAGGTGTTCCAGTCAGCATCACTATAGCCTTCTAGTACAGCTGGAAACCTTTCATAATGCAACCCTAGGTTCATGGTCCTCTTAAGGTATCTCATGACCCTTTCAATAGCATGCCAATGCTCATTACCAGGACAACTAGTAAACCTGCCTAACAATCCCACGACATAGGCAATGTCGGGTCTAGTACAATCAGTGGCATACCGAAGGCTGCCAATGATTCTCGCATAATCAGATTGCCTTACGGCATCACCAGTGTTCTTAAATAATTTAACACTGGGATCATAAGGTGTACTAGCAGGTTTACAGTCAAAGTAACTATATTTCTTTAGGATCTTCTCAATGTAATGAGATTGATCCAAAGAAACTCCATTTTCTGTCCTAGTAATCTTAATTCCAAGGATTACATTAGCCTCTCCTAGGTCTTTCATATCAAACTCAGCATTCAACAATAGCTTTACATCATTCACAGCATGAATGTTCGAGCCAAAAATTAACAAGTC